GTCCAGAGGGAAGGGATGAAGGGGATAATGGTGGAAATAATAGTAAGGGACCAGAAAACGGATATGTATGAATGATCCACAGACATGGACAACAGTGTGGGAATTGACTGTGGGAGCAGTGGGTAGGATGGGCAGAGGAGGGAAGAGGGGGAAAAATTGGGACACTGTAACAAGATAACAATAAAAATGATTTAATAGTTAATTAATTAAGAAGAAAGAAACAAAGGGGCAGAATGTGTGCTGTCTTCTTCTGCCATAGTAGTACCTTTGTCCTACATAGCTACAGGAAGGCACTTCCTCCCTGTGGTTTAATTATCCAATACTGATCCTCAACTTGCACATTTGTCACTTGTGAGTGTCTATTCAAGGAACACAAAATCCAGCTGCCACCCTAACAACATAGTATGTTGTGACCTGGCCCCCAGAAGTTGATGTGTCTCAGCTGGGATTTTTTAGGCTTTAGAAAAAAAATGTTGGAAACTTTAATGAACTTGTGTCATTGCTGAATTCATAAGTTATCATCAGACTTGATAGAAAGAAATTCTATATAATAATGCTTTTAATCTCAGGTTTTTTACAGATATAACAAGAAGCATATAAATTTCCATGTGCTTCTTGTTATATGTAAAGATATTGCCAATTACCAATTTTAAAATAAGAAAGATAAACATTTGTTGTTTTTATTTTGATTTAGTGTGAATATTTTTCTTATACAATTAACCTTTGAGTTTGATCAAACAAAATAAAGCACAGAGAGAAAATTAGGAAATAAAGTTGATTAGAAACATTTTTTGAGCTTTCAAAGTGAGACTCGGATCTCAATATGTTTGTTAGCTGATGGGGAGAGAAAAATACGTGGACAGAGATGTACAGCAAGAACAATTACAAGTGCATATGAACTCTGGAGGCCTTGTTGGTTAACATGGCAGAGAGTGGAAGAGTAGAGATAGGTCGATGGAGGATGAATCTAAGTCAAAGGCAGGAAGGGAAGAATCCATATAAATTTCAAGAGTTGACAAAAACTGAGCTACAATCACAAACTTCCACATCTCTAATTCCACCCCCTTGATTCACTTTCCCAGAAACAAGAAACAGTTTTCTCTAACAACACAAAACAAAACAAAAAACACTTGATATATTTTTCACCTGATAGCAACAGAATAATGGATGTACACTAAGGCAGAAAAGGTTTAAACTGGACAGCATGGCATGGGGGGATGATGGATTGGGAATGTCATTGAATCTTGCTTCCAAAGAAGGCAGGTGAAACAAGTTTTTCAGATCTTAAGTAAATACCACTCATAGCAATGTAAGCTGAATAGCTTCCCAAAACAAGTGTGCCAGTATTTTAATAAATTAATCAATTTAATAAATAGTATTCCCTTTTTCATTTTCAGTTGTATATATTGGGAAAGTGTCCCATTAATGAAAGTATCTCAATCATATCCACTATGAATGAAAAAGGGGTCACATACTAAACTTGACAAGTTCAGAGGAGGCCAGATTGGTGGCCTTATGAACTCAGAAACTAAAAGTAACCACATAGGATAATCTGAACATAAAAATTCCTAACTAAAATCCAGTCATGGCAGGCAGTCACATCTTAGACCAGTATCTTCCTTGAGAAAGGTCAATCCTTACCTTAACTGAGCCTATTGTCTTTTTTGCATCTAACATAACATATCTTTGCAATATCTTAGTATTCCCCTTTTGTCGGGTACAATCAGGACACAATCTTCCACCACAGCAAGAGAACAGGGAACTCTCATAGATATCTTTTGCCCAAATACCATCCCTTCATGATGTAAATGTTCATTTTAATTATCCTATACTCACCAATGTAAAAGAAGTATTTATTTCTTCATTTTACTCTTAACCCAATCCTAGAGATTTCCCCACTTTGCTTTCTCCTGCCTTCCTAAGTTATCACCAATAGACTTCATGAAAACCCCTTACATCTTCCCCTTTGACTCTGATGTATAAAATAAGTGGCGAAACTGCCATTTTCTGGAGCATTTTCTCAACCTGTTCAGATTTTCCTTCCCAGCAAATAAACTCATAAAAATTCTTACTGGTTTGGATGTTTCTTATGTTGACACAATACACCTTTACCTATCTGATGTCGAAGCATTAAGTAGAAGGGTTCTCCCTACTTGTAAGCCCTAGGAGCTATATTTAACTAGATATGTGGTTTTTTTGGTTTGTGACAATTTTTATTTATTAGAATTACAATGAACTTGTATAAAGGATACATGAACAAAGCCAAAAGGGGGTAGGACTGAGAGTGCATGCAATGGGGGAAAAATGAAGACAACTGTATTTGCACAAAAATAAAAAAATACCATTAATTTCTGAAGTTTCACTTACATGCATGGGCATGTATTATGCTTTGTTTTACATCAGTTAATTCTGCATGCATGATCTATACATAAATTATTATTCAGATGCTCGACAACATCAGACATTATCTTTAAATCAGCATCAAATTCAAATATTAATCTCAGGTGGTAAAGAAATTAATTTAAGAGGTAATTCTAATTGTTGTATTTGCTTTATATTCCAAGATACTTTGGAGTAAGTAGATTTACAAAACATAACATAGATTTTATAAAGTATATTTTATTGATTATTCTGTTATAGTTGTCCCAATTGTTTTCTCCCTCTTTTTAAATTTTTTTATTTTATTGATTATGCCATTACAGCTGTTCTATTCCCCCCTTCATTCCCCTCGACCCTGCACTCCCCCAGCCCCCACCATCCCCCCTTTAGTTTATGACCATGTGTCTCAAGTTCTTTAGATTCGATATTTCCCATACTATTCTTTCCCACGCCCCTGTTGCTAACCCTCCATGAGATCTTCATTTCTATGGTTCCACTCCTGATATAGCTGTCCTTTTTGTTTGCTTTCGTTTTAGGTGTGGTTCTTAATAACTGAGTTTGCTGTCCTTTCAATGTTCATATTTTTCATCTTCTTTTTCTTAGGTAACTCCCCTTTAACATTTTATATAATAAAGGCTTGGTGATGATGAACTCCTTGAATTTAATCTTATCTGAGAAGCACTTTATCTGCCCTTCCATTCTAAAAGAAAGTTTTGCTAGATAGAGCAATCTTGGTTGTAGATCTTTGGATTTCATGACTTGGAATACCTCTTTCCAGCCCCTTCTTGCCTGTAAGGTCTCTTTTGAGAAATCTGCTGACAGTCTGATGTCAATTCCTTTGTAGGTGACAGTCCCCTTATCTCTTTCTGCTTCTAGAATTCTCTCCTTCATTTGAATCTTGGCTAATGTAATTATGATGTGTCTTGATGTGTTTCTTCTTGGGTCCAACTTCTTTGGGACTCTCTGAGCTTCCTGGATTTCCTGGAAGTCTATTTCCTTTGCCAGATTGGGGAAATTCTCCTTTATTATTTGTTCAAATAAGTTTTCCACTCGTGGTTGTACTCTTCCCCTTCTGGTACCCCTATAATTTGGATGTTGGAGTGTTTAAAGATGTCCTGGAGGTTCCTAAGTCTCTCCTCATGTTTTTGAATTCTTGTTTCTTCGTATTGTCCTATTTGGTCATTTTTTTCTTCCTTCTGGTTCACTCCCTTGATTTGAGTCCCAGTTTCCTTTTCATCACTATTGGTTTCCTGTGAAATTCCCTTCATTTCAATTAGTTTAGCCTTCATATGTTCCTCTAATTTGTGAATAAAGTCAACCAGTTCTGTGAGCATCCTCATCACCAGTGTTTTTAACTGTGCATCTGAAAGTTTTCCTGTTTCTTCATTGCTTAGAGTTATGGGCTCTGGAGTTTTGAGGTCTTCTTGAGCCATTTTTGGTCTGTTCACGCCTGTTAAGTATAAGGAGGGGAGCCTTAGGTGTTCACCAGGGCAGGGCCACTCAGGTCACTGGTTTGTGATGCTGTATGTGGGGGCGGTGTCAGAGCAGGGAAATGGCAGCCTCATCTGCTGTCTCTTGCCGCTGGGGCCTGCTCGGTTCACTCTCACCACTCACTCCCTCGCTGGTCTATCTGTGCATGAATGGGCAGTGCACAGTCAACCCACTGCCCTGCACCATTGCTGGGTCTGCTGGTCGCTCACTGGGTCACTCACTGGGTCGTTCACAGGGTCCACCCATTGCAAGACCATGCCTGGGATCCATGGACCTGAGTCCATTTGACCGAGCTTACCTGTGCAACCCTGCTCCACCAGCTGCTGGCTTCGCCCCTCTTACTGGTCAGGCTGAAGAATTTGTTGTTATCAGACTTCTGAAAAGGTCAATTTTCTGTGTTCTGGCTGTGTTTTCTGTTGCTAATATTTTGTTGTCTCTAAACTTGGTTGTGTGAGAAAGCACAGTGTCTCCACCTATGACTCCATCTTGGCGAAAGTCTGTTTTCTCCCTCTTATTCACCCTCTGTTCATCACCACCCATGCTTTATTTCCACCCCTCTTAGTTCATGTTCATGGGTTGTACATATAAGTTATTTGGCTTCTCCATCTCCAATACTATCCTTAACCTTCCCCTGTCTATTATATGCCTACCAATTATGCTTCTTATTCCCTGTACCATTTCCCCCACAACTCTTCCCCCACTCCCACTGATAACCCTCCATGTGATCTCAATTTCTCTAGTTCTGTTCCTCTTCTGGCTGTTTGTTTAATTTTTGTTTGTTAGGTTCAGCTCTTGTTAGTTGTGAGTTTGTTGTCAGTTTAGTCTTTTTTTTTTTAGATAAGTCTCTTTAACATTTCATATAATAAGGGCTTGGTGATGATGAACTCCTTTAACTTGACCTTATCTGGGAAGTACTTTATCTGTCCTTCCATTCCAAATGATAGGTTTGTTCGATAGAGTAATCTTGGATGTAGGTCCTTGACTTTCATAAATTCAAATATTTCTTTCCGGCACCTTGCCTGTAAAGTTTGTTTGTTTTTTTCTTTTTGAGAAGTCAGCTGATAGTCTTATGGGCATTCCTTTGCAGGTAACTCTCTCTTTTCTTTTTGCTGATTTTAAGATTCTATCCTGTGCTCGCTTTGGCAGCACATATACTAAAACTGGAACAATACAGAGAAGATTAGCATGGCCCCTGCACAAGGATGGTAGGAAAATTCACGAAGTGTTCCATATTTTTAGAAAAAGTCAAACAAATCCAGGAATCACAGAGAGTCCCAATCAAGAGGAACACAAAGAGGCCCACTTCAAGACACATTATCATCAAAATGGCAAAATTCCAACACAAAGAGAGAATCTTAAAGGCACCAAGGGAGAAAAAAGAAGTAACATACAAGGGAGCCCCAATAAGGTTAGCTACTGACATCTCAATGGAAACACTTCAAGCAAGAAGAGAATGGCAAGAAATATTCCAAGTAATGAGAACCAAAGGCCTACAACCAAGGCTACTTTACCTAGCAAGGCTCTCAGTAAAGATAGATAGCCAAATAAAGAGTTCCAAGACAAAAAAAAAAAGTCTAAAAGAATATGCCTCCACCAAACCAGCTCTACAAGAAATACTAAAAGGACTGCTTTGAGGAAAGAAATAAAAAGAGGGAGACAGAGAGGAACACAGGTACAAAAATGGCAATGAATAAGTACCTATCAATAATAACCTTAAACGTAAATGGATTAAATGCTCCAATCAAAAGACACAGAATAGCTGAATGGATAAGAAAGCACGACCCACATATATGCTGCCTACAAGAGACCCACCTCAGGACAAAAGACCATCACAGACTAAAAGCAAAAGGCTGGAAACAAGTTTTCCAAGTAAACAGACAGGAAAAAAAAAAGATGGGGTAGCAATTCTCATATCGGACAAAATAGACTTCATAAAAAGGGCCACAAAGAGAGACCCAGAAGGTCACTTCATTATACTCAAGGGAAGAATCCACCAAGAAGACATTAACATTGTAAATATATATGCACCATACATAGGGGCAACCAAATATATTAAGAAAATCTTAGAGAACTTCTGCCAAGATGGAGGCATAGGTGGAAGCACTGTACCTCCTCCCACAACCAAGTTTAAAAACAACAAAGTATTAGCAACAAAAATGTAACCAGAACCACAGAAAATTGAACTTCACAGAGGTATGACAACTACAAACCCTTCAGCCAAACTGATAAACCTGTGAAGAAGGGAGCGGTGAGACAGACCATGAAGGCCCCAGTGGCAGGAAGTGGCAGAGGGGACTGCCATTGTACCTCTCTGACCCTGCCTCCACCTACAGCATCACAAATCAGCAACCTGGGTAACCCAACCCTGGTGAACAACTAAGGCTCTGCTCCTCATACCTAACAGGCATGAACAGATCAAAACATGGCTCAAGAAGAACTTAGAGCCCCAGGGCCGATAAATCTAAGCGATGAAGAAATAGCCAAACTTTCAGATGCACAGTTCAAAACACTGGTGATCAGGATGCTCACAGAACTGGTTGATTTTAGTCACAAATTAGAGAAACATATGAAGGCTAAACTATTTGAAATGAATGGAAATGCACAGAAAACCAATAGTAACGGAAAGGAAACTGGGACTCAAATCAAAGGAGTGGACCAGAGAGAGGAAAAAAATGACCAAACAGAAAAGAATGTAGAAACAAGAATTCAAAAAAATGAGGAGAGGCTTAAGAACCTCCAGGACATCTTTAAACGTTCCAACATCCAAATTATAGGGGTGCCAGAAGGGGAAGAGGAACAGCCATGAGTGGAACACTTATTTGAACAAATAATAAAGGAGAATTTCCCCAATCTGGCAAAGGAAATAGACTTCCAGGAAATCCAGGAAGCTCAGAGAGTTCCAAAGAAGTTGGACCCAAGAAGGAACATACCAAGGCACATCATCATTATATTAGCCAAGATTAAAATGAAGGAGAGGATTCTAGAAGCAGCAAGAGATAAGGGGACAGTCACCTACAAAGGAGTTCCCATCAGGCTGTCAGCAGATTTCTCAAATGAGACCTTACAGGCAAGAAGGGGCTGGAAAGACATATTCCAAGTCATGAAATCTAAAGACCTACAACCAAGATTGCTCTACCCAGCAAAACTTTCATTTAGAACGGAAGGACAGATAAGGTGCTTCTCAGATAAGACCAAATTCAAGGAGTTCATCATCACCATGCTGTTACAGTTGTTCTATTCCCCCTTTCATTCCCCTCAACCCTACCCCCCCATCCCCACCATTACCCCCCCTTTAGTTTATGTCCATGTGTCTCAAGTTCTTTAGATTCTATATTTCCCATGCTATTCTTGGCCCACCCCCTTCTGTTTTCTATCTACTGTCTATGCTACTTATTTTCTGTATCTTCTCCCCCCTTCTCCTCCACCCACGCCCCTGTTGCTAACCCTCCTTAGATCTTCATTTCTATGTTTCCTCTCCTGAACTAGCTGTCCTTTTAGTTTGCTTTCATTTTAGGTGTGGTTGTTAATAACTGTGAGTTTGTTGTCCTTTCACTGTTCATGTTTCTTTAACTTCTTTTTCTTAGATAAGTCCCTTTAACATTTCATATAATAAGGGCTTGGTGATGATGAACTCCTTGAATTTGATCTTATCTGAGAAGCACTTTATCTGTCCTTCCATTCTAAATGAAAGTTTTGCTGGATAGAGCAATCTTGGATGTAGGTCTTTGGATTTCATGACTTGGAATACCTCTTTCCAGCCCCTTCTTGCCTGTAAGGTCTCTTTTGAGAAATCTGCTGACAGTCTGATGGGGACTCCTTTGTAGGTGACTGTCCCCTTAGCTCTTGCTGCTTCTAGGATTCTCTCCTTCATTTTAATTTTGGCTAATGTAATGATGATGTGCCTTGGTGTGTTCCTTCTTGGGTCCAACTTCTTTGGTACTCTCTGAGCTTCCTGGATTTCCTGGAAGTCTATTTCTTTTGCCAGATTGGGGAAATTCTCCTGTATTATTTGTTCAAATAAGTTTTCCACTGGTGGCTGTTCCTTTCCCCCTTCTGGTACCCCTATAATTTGGATGTTGGAGCTTTTAAAGATGTCCTGGACTTCCGCCAAGATGGAGGCATAGGTGGATGGGCCGTGCCTTCTCACACAACCAAGTTTAGAGACAACTAAATATTAGCAACAGAAAACACAGCCAGAACACGGAAAATTGAACTTTTTGGAAGTCTGTTAATAACAAATTCTTCAGCCTGACCAATAAGGGGCGAAACCAGTGGCTGGTGAGGGGTTGCACAGAAGGTCTCGGTCAGACGGACTCAGGCAAGGAATCCAGATGTACACAATCCAGGCACGGAATCAAGGCGCAGGGTTGGACCTAGTGAGTAACCAGGAGCCACCAGGAGAGCGACCGCGGAGGAGACAGTGGGGAAGTCGTGCTGCTTGTTGACTGTGGTCGCCCATTTGTGCGCGAGCGGACAGGCGAGGGAGTGGGCAGTTGGACCGGGCCTGGCGGGTCCCCGCGGCAAGCAGCTGTGGAGGGCACCGCCATTTCCCTGCTCTGACCACGCCCCCACATACTGCGTCACAACCCAGCGACCTGGGAGTCCAAGGCACCACTTCTCACACTTAAAGGGCCAGAACAGACCAAAAATGTCACAAGATCTCAAAGCCCCACAGCCCATAGATCTAAGTGATGAAGAAATAGCAAAACTCTCAGAGGCACAGTTTAAAACACTGGTCATCAGGATCCTCACAGAACTGGTTGATTATAGCCACAAATTAGACAAATATATGAAGGCAAAACTAATTGAAATGAATGGAATTGCACAGGACACCAATAGCAATGAAAAGGAAACTGGGACTCAAATCAATGGAGTGGACCAGAAGAAAGCAAATAATGGCCAAACAGAAAAGAGTCAAGAAGCAAGAATTCAAAGAAATGAGGAGAGTCTCAGAAACTTCCAGGATATCTTTAAATGCTCCAACATCCGAATTATAGGGGTACCAGAAGGGGGAAAGGAACAGCCACCAGTGGAAAACTTATTTGAACAAATAACAAAGGAGAATTTCCCCAGTCTGGCAAAGGAAATAGACTTCCAGGAAATCCAGGAAGCTCAGAGAGTCCCAAAGAAGTTGGACCCAAGAAGGAACACACCAAGGCACATCATCATTACATTAGCCAAAATTAAAATGAAGGAGAGAATCCTAGAAGCAGCAAGAGCTAAGGGGACAGTCACCTACAAAGGAGTTCCCATCAGACTGTCAGCGGATTTCTCAAAAGAGACCTTACAGGCAAGAAGGGGCTGGAAAGAGGTATTCCAAGTCATGAAATCCAAAGACCTACAACCAAGATTGCTCTATCCAGCAAAACTTTCATTTAGAATGGAAGGACAGATAAAGTGCTTCTCAGATAAGATCAAATTCAAGGAGTTCATCATCACCAAGCCCTTATTATATGAAATGTTAAAGGGACTTATCTAAGAAAAAGCAGTTAAAGGAACATGAACAGTGACAGGACAACAAACTCACAGTTATTAACAACCACACCTAAAATGAAAGCAGACTCAAAGGACAGCTAGATCAGGAGTGGAAACATAGAAATGAAGATCTCAAGGAGGGTTAGCAACAGGGGAGTGGGAGGAGGAGAAGGGGGGAGAAGGTACATAAAATAAGTAGCATAGACAGTAGATAGAAAATAGATGGGGGGGGCAAGAGTAGCATGGGAAATATAGAATCTAAAGAACTTGAGACACATGGTCGTAAACTAAAGGGAGGGTAATGGTGGGGATGGGGGGCAGGGTGAAGGAGAATGAAAGGGGGAATAGAACAACTGTAACAGCATAATCAATAAAAAAATTTTAAAAATTAAAAAAAAAGATGTCCTGGAGGTTCCTAAGACTCTCCTCATTTCTTTGAATTCTTGCTTCTTGACTCTTTTCTGTTTGGCCATTATTTGCTTTCTTCTGGTCCACTCCATTGATTTGAGTCCCAGTTTCCTTTTCATTGCTTTTGGTGTCCTGTGCAATTCCATTCATTTCAATTAGTTTCGCCTTCATATATTTGTCTAATTTGTGGCTATAATCAACCAGTTCTGTGAGGATCCTGATGACCAGTGTTTTAAACTGTGCGTCTGAGAGTTTTGCTATTTCTTCATCACTTAGATCTATGGACTCTGGGGCTTTGAGATCTTCTTGTGACATTTTTGGTCTGTTCTGACCCTTTAAGTGTGAGAAGTGGTG